CAAGCCATTACGAGGGATCTCCCCCCTAACCCAAACATCTTCCTTTAGGCCTCATTCACTGAGGATCAAATATCAACAAGACTGGGGGATAAACTATAGCACATCTTGTGCACATGTATTTTCATGCTATCTTAAGTATTTTTCATTTATTTATTTTGAGACAGAGTCTCACTCTGTACCCTGGTGTCATAGCTCATAGCAACCTCAAACTCTCCGGTACAAGTGATCTTCCTGCCTCAGCTTCCTGAGTAACTGGGACTACAAGAACCCACCACAGTGCCCATTGTAAGTGTTATCTTCAAGGGAGATTCCTAGAAATGAAGAGTGCTGTATCAATAGGTCACAGTATATATAGTTTTGTGAAATGTTACCAAATTCTTCTTCAGAAAGACTTTATCAGTTTGCATTCCAGGAGAACATCTGTTTCCTCGAGCCCTGCTAACAAGACATGTTTTCATACTTTTTATTTTCACCAATCTGGTACATAAAAAGTGGCATTTCAGGTTGCTCAATTTTGCATTTCTCTGAAAAATTATGAGTGAAGCTGACCATCTCTTCCTATGTTTAAGCACCACCCACACAGAGAGTGAATGATCAAGTCTTCTCTTCATTTTTCTATTGAGCTTTGACTCTTCACTTCTCAAGAGTTCTTTTATATAGTGATACAAACCCTGTATCTGAGACGTATGTTACAAATATGTTCTCTCAATTTGTCAGTTGTCTTTTGACTGCATGACATTTTGCCAATACAGCAAGAGTTCTTATCTTGAGATCCAAGTATATCTCGGGTTTGTAAACCCTCTAACATGGTATGCAAATGGTATGTCTGCTTTTCTGAGAAGTCTGCAGGGTTACAGATTTCCATAAGGGTTCTGTGACCTGAGAGTGATTAGGAGATATCATCCCTCTGTATTTTCTAATGACCCTAATTGTGACCTTTTCTTCTGAAAACACCTCCAAATTCTTAAAAGCTTTTCTCACTTCTCTTAGCTGTTCTTTTTCATAAGTCACAAACCCAGACCCCCAACCTTCAAATACACATTTTCAGGTTGTATGTCATTAGTGTCAATTCTCTTTTTTTGTTTTTGAGACAGAGTTTCACTTTGTCACCCTTGGTAGAGTGCTGTGGCATCACAGTTCACAGCAACCTCAAACTCTTGGGCTTAAGCGATTCTCTTGTCTCAGCACTCTACCGAGGGTGACAAAGTGAAACTCTGTCTCAAAAAATAAATAAAATAAAATAAATAGAGCAGGGGCTGGTAAAATTTAGTCTACCAGCTTGTACTTTTTTTAAGAGATGAGTGTCATTATGTCATCCAAGCTAACGTGCAACGGCCATTCACAGCAGGAATCATAGTTCACCCCGCCTCTAACTCCTGAGCTAAAGCAATCCTCTCCCACCTCAGTCTCCTGAGTAGCTAGAGCCACTGTACCTGGCTAAATTAATTGGTTATTTATTTTTTTTAGAAACAGGCTGTTTCTATCACTGAGGCTAGAGTACAGCGGCACGATCACAGCTCACTGCAACCTCAAATTCCTAGGCTCAAGCAATCCTCTCCCCTCAGTCCCCCAAGTAGCTGGGACTACATGTGCCTATGACCACACCTGGCTAAATTTTTAAGAGTGAGGTCTGGATTGGCGCCCATAGCTCAGTGAGTAGGGTGCCAGCCACATACACTGAGGTTGGAGGGTTCGATCCTGCCCAAGGCCTACTAAACAACAATAACAGCTGCAACCAAAAAAATAGCCAGGAGTTGTGGCAGGCTCCTGTAGTCCCAGCTACTTGGGAGGCTGAGGCAAGAGAATCGCTTAAGCCCAAGAGTTTGA